CCAGCATGCGAATTTTGGTCGTAGTATCCAGCTGGTGAGATAGCAAGCCATCCCAGTCCTTCTGGCTGAGGTAGTTTTGAAGGTAAGGATTCTTCGCAATCACTGTCTTTTTGCCCTCACGGCCGCGTGGCGTCCTGGATCGGTCACCTTCGTCAATCTCAAGCCCACGTTGAACAGCGATGTCAATAGCCGTGGTGAGGTCCCGTCCTTGCAGTCAACAAGTGTATAGTCCCCCAAAAAGTAAACTCAATTGTCAATGTGTGTAATCAATGAATACCTCGAGCAATGTCAAATCTCAACATTCCTTACAAAAGTGAGAATGCACCCCAAAAAGTAAAACATGGTTATAAAATGTTTTCCATCAATATTGTATCGAGCATCTCTGAACCTCTGAAAAAGGGCCCTCCTTGATGACACCAAAAAGGTGGCCAGCTTGGCTCGCGTCTAGCTGTTGCCCGGTCAATTGCGAAACAAACTGTTTCACAATGGCATCTGACAAATGAGCCCTGCTATCCACCGAGGAGGATGCAGTGGACACACTACATTTCAAGTACTCAACCCTGGCTTCAAAGTCTTTGAACAGTTTGCTCGACATGGCCTGCCTACAATTAGCAAGAATACTGTCGAACCCAAGCTGCTGCAGCCACTTGCAACAGAAGTGACAGAATTGTCATGACAAACCATTGAAAATTAAGCGTTCGGCATTCGTAAAAAAAAGGTTTTGGCACACCTTCGATGTGTTTCGGTCTCTAAAAGGACCGGCTCAAACTGGCAACCGTGTATATATATATATATCCGCCGACCCTCTTTTTAAAGGGCAGTGCAGGAAAAGAAGGCCATATGTTTCCAAAAATACGTTTTTTGCGTTCCCTCCTTCTTATAAACCAGGATTCCTCCGATTTGGGACGCTAATTTATAGTTGGAACAGGTGCGAGAGTATGAGCCAAAAGCGGTAACTTTTCCTCGAGCCAAAAGCGTCAGTCGTGTATATAAGTGTGGGACCGGACAGAGGCCCCACGTATTTTCCACGTATTTTCGGTTGCCATTCTGACGTTGCCCGTGCGCGGCACTTAGCCGCACTTAGCTAAGTGACTTACGTATGACTTACGTGCGCCTGGCCCGTGCACTTGGCAAGCACTTAGCTAACCACTTATAACTAGCTTAGCAGACTTATGCTAAGTAGACTTATAACTCAGGTAAATGGTTATAAGCCGCTTAAGAAACGTGCTCCACTTAGCTACACTTATAAGTTGAGTTGGGTGACTTACAACTCAACTTGCCTAGGTTATAAGTAGGCTTATAACTAGGACAACCCGAGCTCGCCATGATAGTAGCGGAACTGCAAGCAGTTCCCGCCGTGCGCCTGATGTAGAGATTGTCGAGAAGGACGATGAGGAGGCAAGGCCGGATAGTCGCGAGCCTGTACCGGACGAGCCAAAAAGTCGAAGAGAAGAAGGAACCAGGAAAGATAAAACCTAAGTCAACAGTCACCATGCCCATAGCTCTGAAACGAATACATGACAAATTGAGTTCTCCTACCAAGTTACTGCGACTTCCCTTGAAACATTACCATATATATGTCAACTGATCAATTCAGAAGAAGAAATTCTGCTTTGAAACGACCAGAAGACATTTACAAACTGTATGACGCAGTGGTAAAGAGTTGTGATACGTGCCAGACCTCCAAGAGAGCACCTTCGCGCGCCAAGGTTTCAGGCATGCGCAGTGAAACATTCGGTGTGTTGATCATGGTATGGTTGACGTTGAAGGTGGCAAGTAGAAACTGGTTTTTCTCATACTCTTCGACGGTGCTACGTCCTTGTCAACAGCATATGTGGTTAACACGATGAACTCCAAGGAAACCATCAACCTTTTTCTTGAATACTTTGAGACCTATCAAATCAATCCCATGAGGATTGTAGGGGATCAAGCGTTCGCGCAGCCAGATTTTGAAGACTTTTATGCCCGTAGGAACATTAGGCCTATTGCACTAGGACCAGAAACACCATGGCCTAATCGAGCAGAAGCTGCAGTTCGTACTTTCAAGAAACCGGTAACATTGATGGTGAATTCTTTGGCAGACGATCCCGCGCTAGCGGATGTCACTTATCGACAGTTGGTCCGTCAAGCTTGTCTTGCTAGGAATTCATCCGTTACGTACGGCGGTGTAACTCCACTAGAGATGGCATTTGGTCGTATACCCTGCAGACATCCTGAGGCTAGAGACTGCTACTCCTTCTCCGTAACTTCCGATGTTCCGACACCAGAGAAGAAGATAGAAGCAGTTAGGACGCTCGCGACCAAGGCTTATCTAGAGGCAAAACAATCAGATGATGTTAGACGTGATTTGAGTGCTAAACTCAAATGTCTTCAGGTCCTTTTCTTCCATATACTACTGGGCTGAAGACAAGAGCAAGGTCATGTCACATGTCAGATGGTGGTCGTGGTGGTAAGTGGATTAAAGGTAAACTACTGACCATAGAAGGTTCCATGGCAGGCATTGATCTTGGCAATCGTATAGTCTGTACCAATGTGTCAAAGATAAGAAAGGATTTTGATGCGATCGAAGATGTTGACATCCCACTCGACCTTTCCAACGGTCGAGATGCTTCAGGCATTCTGATGACTGCAGACGCTGAACAGGTTTCACCCTCTGGCCATTCTTTTCTTGAGTCCCACTGGCAACCAGTACCAAAGGCAGATCGATTTCCTAGAGCTATTCAGTGGTTCAGCTAGACTTAGCCCCGCTGCCGCTCTAGCGGGACTCAGAGTAGGACCGCCAATTGATCTGCGGACTGGATTCGACATTCTAACTTCCGAAGGACGAAGGGAGAAAAAGAGCCATGGCCATGAGTGATAAACACTCAGCGTCCTGAAGGCGTTTTTATGGCAGCACATTGCGCACCATGGTCACAGATGAGCAATATTAATGATAGAGCAACTCGCGAAGAGAAGCGCAATCGCTACTACCCGATGTTGGAATTTTGCGTGCAGGTTGCTATTTATCAAATTGCCTATGGCAGGAAGTTCATTATTGAGAATCCTGCTGGGTCCATGTTATGGTGGACTAAATGTTTCAACAACTTGTGATCCAAACAAGGAGTCCAATGGTCCACACTGCGCACGTGTGCTTTCGGAATGCGCGATCCTAGTGGCTATTACTACTACAAGCCAACTAGTCTGATGCATAATTTTGCTGAAGGTGGGTTTGTCCACTGAAGAAGGCAAGAGCCTCGGGGGTGAACCGCACTAACGGTAGCCACAAACACCAGATGCTTGAAGGGAATGCACCTGGCTACGGATCTCGCGCAAAGCTCGCGCAAGTATATCCTTATGCATTTTGTCGTGCTATAATTCGCTGCGTTCTTCCAATAGGAAATTGCAATTGTTTGCCTACTGCTGATTCATTTTTACTTGAAGACATGACATAACAGTCTGTGCTTGGGTCCCTACCCCGTCCAGCGGGTCTGCCCATGAAACCCTACCCCCTCCAGCAATCTGCCCCTGAAACCCTACCCCCTCCAGCGGTCTGCCCTTGGGACCCGACCCCGTCCAGTGGTCTGGGACTCCCTCCCCTCCAGCGGTCTGCCCTCGGGATCTCTCTGGCCTCTCCAGCGGTCTGCTCTTGATACCGCATCCCTTACAGTGGGACATATCTCTTCTGAGGGACTTACATCTTAGGACATTGTCATCTCCAGCGCTCTTGGCTTTCGCGCTCTTGTCGATTTACTTGACGTGGATGTGGCTCCGCTTGTAGCGATCGCCATGTTCAGATGTAATATTACTGCGCATGTCATATGTCATGTGACGTACAATGTTTACAAAACAAAAACATACATAGCTTGTGAGTTTCTGCGGTAGGGAAAACATCATGACACATCACAAATTTTTTTTAAAAGACATCATACACTAATGTTTCCTTTCTGCTGCATTGAAAAGCAAATGACAAGACAACAACACAATCACAACGTAACCAATTTGCGAACTCGGAACACTTCGTTCATACAGAAGAGCACTATACGAACTACGCATTTTAACAGTGTATGTTTGTGCTTCAAAACACTGACCAAAACAATGGCGGCAGCCGATCGAAGACACACGCTCTGATGCTGACGGATGCTGGCCCAGATGAACTTCGCACTTCCACAGAATTGCCGAGCACCCGCAAATGGTTTCTGTTGGAAACACGGCTTGACATTGAGACACACCCCGTTCCTAATCCTTTGACATTGGTTGAATGTGTTGAGCTGCTGGTGTGATGTAGATAGAGTGCAGGCCATCTAAGTCAAAACCACCACGGAGACTATCGTCAGCCGACTCGCTCTTATTGCTTCGTCCGGATGCAAGAATGGTACTTTCAGCATCACACACTCTGTCAAGCTGACAGTTGCTTCAGATTCCACGGAGGCGAACACCTTTGGTTACAACATTCCGAGAATCAACGCAATCAGAAGGCGATACGGTTGGGACACAGATGTGGATGTACATTGTAATGTTATTTTCCCACATCATCGCTTTCCTACACATCAAATTTCCAAGATCAGTACTCGGAATGGATGGGGACTGGTTTCTCTGGAATTGCGCTCTTGTAGTATTGCACGACGGATTGAAAAGAAGCCGCTCGCGCCAAGTCCAGCATCAGAACCTGCATCCAATGAAAACAATGAGACGGCTAACAGCTTGGCCAATGGTGATGGTGATGAGATTTCTGCTTCTGAAGCACTAGCATCTTCTACTTCCATTGCAGCGTCCTTGGAATTCCCTGACCAGGCTGCCAATCCAAACAGTGCTATGACGAGTGTACATCCCACCAGCCTCAATTGTGGAAGAACAGACTGAGAAGCTGAACTTGATATGATATTTAACTGTTCTTATGTTGTTATTGTTGTTGCGTTAGTTAACGATTGATATCATATAGATTAAACATTGCAATGAGTTTAATGTGCTTCAAACACATATGAGGAAAGCACCTGGATCTGGATGCACTAAAGAGATTGCAAATGCAGAGACGCTCCAGATTGAAAGTACAGCTGCTGTTCCGTGCAAACTCTGATGACAACACGGCCACAGTTCATGGGAACAATGTTGCTTCAGCTCCAACGCCTTTCGATTCCACAGGCTTGGTTTGTGTTTTGCGACGTGACGTTGCCCTCCAGTTCATCATCATCATCATCGTCATCATCGTCATCATCATCCGTCATCCATCATCCATCATCCATCATCATCATCATGTCTGTGTAACTGTAGCAGTGCGGCTAACACCCCTAAAGGTACGATAGTCTCCTTTCAGCTGTTCGAGTACGTACGTAACTGTGAACTGTCATAGTGGTTATCACTGGCCTATGTCCCTGCAGTAACTGCACTTTCAGGGTTTTGTATTTGTGTTGTTTATTATTTGTTTGTTTGACGTTAACCCCTGCAGGCCCTTCAGATGAATCAGTCCAGAATGTTGACTCTGTTCCAGCTGGGGTGCAACGTTCACTTCAACCCACTGGTGCAGAAAGTTCTGATGGTGAGCGTGACAAGATGTTGACTGCCGTTTTGCCTGAGACAGCAATCAAGCCTGAGGAACGGGACTTTTAACGTTTGTGGAGTTGTGGAGTTTTACTTTCACTTTTGAACACACTGAGTCGACACTGTCAGAAGCCTTCAGCCTTCGTTTGACTGTCAAATCTTTAGCCATGGTTTGTTGACGCAAGACTGTGTGTAGTTCAGGAACAGAACCGTATTCCTGCATTCCTCTTTCAACTTTGGGTAGGATTTCATTTCTTCTTCTGCTGATCAGATTGATCTGGCTTTTGATGCTGATGCTGATGCTGCTACTCTAAGTCTGACCCCTATCAATTCTTCAGATCATGGCTTGGATCATTCAGATCAGGCTGACACGACAGAGGTCAGAAGCTTGGCAGACGCTCACAGTTGCTTGGATGTTGTTGCGGCTGTTGCAGCTTTGCAACTCCTTTTTAGAGACTTTGGAGATTTACAGCAGCCTATTTGCTTCAGCGCCCTGCTTTGTAACCTTTGTAGACTTTGTAGCTGCTGATTGGTATTTGGTGTTCAGTGGAGTGAGATGTCGAATCACATAACTTCTGCATGGCAGGCCTTTTTTTCTTTATTGTATATAGCAACCCAGGTTGGCCAGATCACCTTTTGGAAACCTATGCAAACCACTTCGAGGTTCACGATGACTCCACGAGGCTGATTTCAAATTCAGAGCCGGAGTCCGATGATGATCTGGGCCACGACAAAGCTGGCAGAGATATGCGCCAGTGCCTGAAAGACCTAAAGCACCGCATGGACTTCAGCATTATTTCAACAGCTTTCTCTCTGGAATAGATTTGCCTGGCGCTGCATTAGAGCAACTGTAGACGGAGCTGGCTGTTAAACTTGGCAATGATCCCAAGTCATCCTCCTCAAGAAGCAGATCTCGATCTCGGCACTTACATGGAGTTGAGTGGGCACCGCACGCTCAGCAACAACTGCAGCAACATCCTCATCCTCCGCAGTGCTTGTTTGGCAACATCGAAGAGTTTGTGGAGCCAAGCATTCGCCGTCAACTGAAATCATTCTTGGAGACCAAGAAAGTCGATTCAATTTCGACGCCTTTGCTTTTTGAGCAAACCATGAAGGTCATCAGACCGTTTCCTGGTTAAATTGCTGCCTCAGAATCATTACATTACATTGTATCGTTTATATAGTATACAGATATATAGTGTTTTATATATGTTGTTTATGTTAACAACTAATAGGGCAATTTACAAAAAACAGGAAGTCATCGGCTTGTTGGCAAGCTCAGGTCAGCATGGTGCTTGCAACACAACAGGTATTGCAGGATATATGAGCAACTGGCAAGTCTTCACCTGGCAGGCACACCATGTATTGCCTTCTCATCAATTGGCTCGTTGGATCGTGAGGGCAGCATCAGCTACATCCACTTCCTGATCTGGGTAGCACTACGCAAACGACGCCAAGAGTCAGTCGTTGCGCAGGAGTGTGTGTCAACTTTTCCTCGGGAACCATTTTTGCTTTTGATGCCAGAGTACGAGTTCACATTTCACACTATGAACCCAGTGGACTATGGCTGGCCAATCAACAGGGAGAGACAATTCATTGTGTCTATTGCTTAGTTGTCAATTCATTGGTCAAATAGTGGGTGCCACATAACAACAAACCAATCCACATTGAATGAGCAGTTGAACGTGTTTTGTTCATTTGTGGTGCTGAGGGGGCAGACACGGAGTCAAGACACTTGCGTTCAGAAGCTTATTGAAGGTCTTCAGCACTCTCTTCAACCGGTCCCTTTCTGGCTCAGCGAGTTGGTCAGTGTTCTTATGGGAGATACTGAGCCACACTCAGCCGCACATTTTAGGTTTATTTGTGGTTTTGTGTTTTGTTTCTGCCTGTTTGTCTGTCTGTCTGCAATTGTCGGTTTGTAGTTTGACGAAACAAACAAATGCCGTGGCAGGGACTGATGAGGTTGAACTAGACAAAGAGATGGCCTGGGCATCATCGCGTCCATGCTCCACCTGGTCAGAGACTGACACACCAAAGAGCTCTGAAGGTGACGCCTTCCTCAAAACGCTGACAGAGACTGAATTCGGCTTCTATGGTAAGTACGTGAGCCGGTTTCCTGGTGGAATCTATTCTCTCAATCAGAATCCAGATGTCACCTGTATCCAGAGCGTGGGACAGGCGACTTGGTTGAATGTTTCAGAAACAGAAATACTGTTAATGCTTACTGTTCACAGTGTTCTTACTTCTCTGCTTTGCTTCATTTTGTCATTGTTAAGGACTGATAAAGGAAATATTCATATGATAAATACTGCTGATATATGGTTATGCAGAACGGACATGTTCACATTGCAGCAAGGTTATGCCGACTCTGATCAGCAGCTGTAGCATCCTTTTCTCAGCGTTGCATCAGCGCTTGCTGACGCAGCGTGAGTTGCTGGTCGCTCAAGGTTTTCCTACCCAGGAAGAATGGACTCATGGCGTTCAATGTTCATCATTCTCTCGCTTGTCCGAATGGCCATCACATAGCGCACTTGGCAAGATGGCTGGTAATTCAATTCACACAAATGTTTCCAGTGTGTTGATTCTGTCTTTCTCAAGTTTGAATCGACCCACATGTGGCAAAACTTTTGGCCAAGCATTGTAGACGGTCCATATTGCGGTTGAAGTCTTCGAAAAGAAGGCGTCTGTCAACTGGTTGATCTCATGTGCCCATGTGCCATAGCCAGCGAGTGTCTGGTAATGATGGCGCATATTTCCAGTGTAGTACAGCATTGTTCCACGGCTCGCTGTCAGATGGCCTTGCAACTGAGTGAAAGACGAAAGGCGAGACCTACGCATCCAGGACCTACGACCTACACTGTAACTATATAACTATCTCTAGTTTAGCCCTCCTTAATTGTTTCTCATCAAGCTTTGCTTGGCCATGTCAGCGTTGACAGCGTTGACAATAACACAAAGACAATAGACCTTCGACCTCTTGGCTGCAGATGTGAGCTGAGCAACAAAGTCAAAATAGTTTTTGACAGAGTCTGTCTGTGTAGTGTTAACTGACAAACAACAACAACTACAATGGTAGCTGCGTTCAGCGTGTTCAAGTCTTGTTTTTGTTTGTTTGTTTGGCAGTGGGCTAGCAACTAGCGTGTGAGGAGTGTATTTCATGTTGTTATGTTTGCAATGTGTCAACCAATCATGTAATCATGTAATGAAACGAACTAGGCTTTTCTGTTTGTCAACGCCAGTTGCCGCTTGCCAGTTGCCTGTGCTAAGCTTGCCAGAAGGTTTTCACTTGTTTTATCTTTGAAGGTCTGAAGGTAAGATTCAGGTAAAATGATGTTTCATTCTGATTTGCGTTGAAGTCTCAAGCAACCTCTAAGACCAGATTAGACTATTTCCTAACTAATAGTTAGAACAGCTTTTCTAGATTATTTTCTAACTATTAGTCTATTTTAAATAGACTTGAATTTAGACTGAGAAATAGTCTATTTTGAAACATAACCTTGAGGTTATTCTATAGAATAACATCAGGAAATACAAACTATATACCTAAACTTGTGGTGTTATATTGCGAAAAACAAACGTGCATGTTACTTATCATAGGCCATGTACTGTTACTGAGGCCATGTGCATGTTCTGAGTTGTGTTGGTGAACTGCATTTGCGTCGGACAACCTCTTGTATTTTCTTGTCTTAGACAAGTCCCTCTTTGCTGCTACTGTTGCATCGCCTTTACCACTTTCACCAGCATCATCTGATTCTGGCTCATCACCTTTGTGGTCTTCCTTCAGCTTCCACTTCTGCACTTTGTCTGAAAAGCTGCCCTTTTCATGCTTTTTTGGAACTGCTTTGGGCTTACTCTTGGCTTTTGCCTTCTGTTCCTTCTCCTTCTTCTTCTCTATGGTTGGCTTCGCCTTTGGCTGTGGTGCTTTTGCCTTGCTTTTTGCATGAGGCTTGACTGATACTGCTGGCCTTTTCATGGGTGTCGTAGGCGCCAAAGCCTGCCGTGCACTTTTGGCAGGGGTAGCTGCTTCTTCTGTAGCTGCTTCCCTCTTGTTTGGTGAAGCCGTGGCTGGTCACCAAGTGCTACTTAGACCCCCACTGAATGCTACCTAGATTCACTTTCATGTTTGAGTTGTTCTATGTAACGTTTTGTCTTTCGTTGCGTCGGTTTGTTTTGTGTCCTTTACTTTGTGCTGCTTATTTTTACATATTTTTACTGTCATATGCACAAGAACACTTTGTCGCAACAAAGCAACTCTGGAGCCACAAAAGACAACACAACAAACATAA